TCCCTCTTGTGTCACTGACGATTGTAATGATGGTCACAGTTCAAGCACTTTTCTGTGCGAGGGATCGACAGGCTATAAATGTTATCTCTTTCTTCTGATCCCGACTCGCACGTGAAACTCGATCCATGTATCTCGAATGTAAAGTTTGCTCTCGGCTGATTTAGCTAGACTCTAAGTGTCATAGAAAGGAAAAATTTTCACCTGGAAAAAGATACCCGATAGCGAAAACCTTACTAATTACTTTGGCACGATCCTGACTATAGATGATCGTAACAACAAAGTAATACACGAATATAAATAGCTATCGAAGGTAAAAGATACTAAGTGTTTTTATGCTTCTCGATCTAGTAGCGTAAAAAATCGTAAGGAAACGTAAGAAGCGAGTAAATTGTGACGAAAAGGTACCCACTAAGACACCTCTTGTCGTTGGTAGATGTCCGGACCGTATCACATGATGTCCAGAGGGCCCGCGAAAGTTGTCTTGGCCCGTTTCAGGTCACCAGAACAAGGGGGTATGGACTTCACAACCTCGTAACCTGGTCATGGCATCGCGGTGAGACCTCTGCGAGTATACTTATACACAAAGTTTAGCCCTAGTCTCCGTAACGTACTAACTAGTTGGAAAATTTACATTCTCCAGGGAAGTTACATTAGTAAGAGGTATTAAACCTACTATTTGTTAGTGACTAAGGCAGCACTAATACTTTACGGAAGACATGTGCCGCTCATGAGCGACATCGAATCTTAGTAAGGATTTTCTGGAGTTTCACAATGAGTCAGCACCCAAGTGATATTTATGACTGATTACAGCGGTAATACTTTCGTCTGAGATTCGGATTCAATCTGTCCGTCGGTAGGACATCACTTGTAACACAGTTCGTTTACGTTCTGGTCTTGAGCATCATATTATGGGGGAGTTGAGTAACACCGTCAAGCTTACGGGGTCAGCAACAGAACGTCTACCTTTTGTCATTTCGACTTAGAATAACTGAAAGTGTCCGTGGCTGGTTGGGACTACAATGAGCTCTGAGCAAGAATGTAGTTTGGACAAGATGACAATGTCTCTGTCAACGGCTAGGTTGCAGTCAGATTCCAAAAAGTAAACAGACAATGTTGTCCATCTACGTGTCTCGTAGGATTCACCTCCGCTTTAGAAAAAAAAAAAAATTATGTAGTATCACAAATCAACAACAGAAGGGCATGTTTTTCTGGAGTCTACTACAGGTTGCATTTTGACTGTCGATTAGTGGGTTTTATATAAAAAACGACAAATAGTCAAAGATGGTAAATAGAATCTTTCTGCGGTACAAGTCTCTACTATATTCTAGAAACTCACGAAATTTGTACGATCTTTGGTGATTTCATCTTTTTGTTCCAGTTTGCCAGGCTCAGTCGCCAACGCCAGAGACTCACAACGTGGTAATGCCCAGTGTAATAGACTAGGATCTCTCTTATCAGCCCTGCATCTCTGTGTCTCTCTTAGTACGGTTACGCAGTATTGTATAGCTTAAAGAAGTTTGCGTTGGTTTTTGTATTTATGGTGTGACATTTACGGTTATTCTGTATAAGAGCATTTTTCCTGTTTTTTGTAAGTAAATATTATAGCCACCTAGTTGTTAGAAGTCTAAGGTATATTTATTTGATTAATCGCTGTCGGGGGTAAAGTAAAACTATCATCAATAGTAGTCTTTATCAGTATATATGTCAGTTTATTCCCTTTCTCCTTTTATTTGTTTATACATTGGGAATTCACACCAGACGCTTGATAGGCGTTACTGGGTTTTTTTTACGCATTATATCATAAATAACAAATACATATATTAAAACTATACCCGGCCGCAAATAGATTCAAAAAAGACCTTGGAGACCAAACAAATATTACACCCACTTGAAATAGGAAAACAACAGTGAAAAAGCACAGAGACAACTTCCAGTCGTCCAAATCGAAGCACAGAAAATCTACCACCCATAACGCGTGACAAGTACAGCATATTCCGATATTCATACCTTGACACTCGCTGCCGTGCGCGTACAAGAGGTACTGGGTGTCCCACAAAGTAAGAATTGAAGCGAGTCGTAAAGGGTCCAACCAGAAATCGGGGCGACGGGCCACTGGACCAGACGGACACTCGCCTAGGCGCGCAGAGGTCGCGTAGTACGTCGAGTCGGAGTGAGAATCTAGTTACGAGTGAATTAACACCACCTGGGTACTTTTGTGTGTACCACCGTGTATTACATACGGAGTGTTACGGGACGTGTGGTGTTTCGTTCTGTACTGACGTAATTAATCTCGGATGTACACTATAGAGCTAAAGAACTCACTATCACTTCTGTGTTGTTTGTCTCGCTCGAGCTCATTGTGGAAGCTGTATAAATAGGGGACATTGTACATCTTCCACATGAGTATACCCGTTCTTCTTGCGGCTGACACTTTCATCGTTTACACACACAATGTGTTATGGACCTCCACACAATATATTTGTCTGAAAGGACACTTCCTCTATGACGTGACCATAGAAGGATTAATAGATTTCTTGAGGATGTCAGTACGGGACTATATGAGGGGTGAATTAGGACATTGACTAAATGTCGCAGTCATAGGACCGTTAGAACAGT